AAAAAAAAAAAAAAAAAAAAAAAAAAAAAAAGAATAAATTTCAAAGAACTTCTAACGGAAGTTGTTAATTGGACAATCGATTGAATGTCGCATTACGATTTGTTGTATAACTCGAATAAACCGATCGAAATCGGTTTAATCCGGCTACGACAGGAAATAAAGTGTTGCTGTATCGGTTCGGGAAGTGGAAGATAATTTTTCCTGCAATAAAACATATCCCATTCGTGCGTGAGAAGTAAAATCGAACCGGTTTCGCTAATATCTGAATCGGGGAAAATATTCGATCGGTTTTCAATATCAAAACCTAGTTTCGAAGATTGATTTGATCGAAGAGAAAATAGAGAACGGGAAAGAAGAAAGGTGAAAAAAGGAAAAATAAAATAATTCAAGAAAATGTATCTCGCTTCTCAATACTCTAATCTATAACAAGTTATTAATTACGTGATATAAACGACAATTACCATTTAATCCAGTTTTTCAATCAAAATCACATAGCTTAAAAAAAACACGGATTAATCGAATCACGTATTTTCTTTTTATTTGACCGATACTAAGAAATATTATTATTATCTTTATTACCTCTATCGTCGATATCTCTGAATATTTCTCTGAAAGTATAGCCAATAAATACTTTTTATAAAATATTACATAATCATCGCGTGAAAAATGATTTCTTTGAAATATAATCAATTAATCTCATTAATCCTCGGTGGAAAGAAACGATTCCACCGATTTCCACTATCCAATTGCACTTATCGATACGAATTATCGTATAGATTCTATCATCTTCGAATACCGATACCATATAATGTACCAAAGCGTTTATTTTTTTCCATTTTTTCCATTCGATCCTTGCAAATCCGATTAAGGTATTCCGCCCTCTTGATCGTACATCCTGAAACGAGACAGGAATTAGAATAACGAGAGCCACGGTCAACGCGCGAATAAAAGAGGTTTGACCAAAATGGCGTTGCCTCAAGGCGATCTACAAGTTAGAGGTGGTAGCGTAGTTTTCCAATCCAATATTCCTTTTTTCTTTCGATGCGACCGCGTCTCGAAGAGTCATCGAAGAGTAAGAGGAATATATACGTATATATCGTTCTATATTTGGCACGATTAATAATCTTTCGATTCTTGTAACTTTCGTTTTTGTCAACTGGAGGCGTTTCGTGTTATTTCGCGGTCGAGAGGTTGGAATGTATCGCGAGGCTTGCGAAACTTGTGCCGTGTGTAGAGAAAATGAGAATTCTTGAGCCGCGATAGTAGCGTTGAACAGTACGTTTTACACGTGTCTCGCACGTGTGTCTTGGCCATTACACATTGTAATTGGCATACTTACTAATGAATCATACGTATTTGATCTCTTACAGTTTGGTATAATTTTTAGACGGTGACGGTGATCATTTATTTTTGATATCTTCCTTATATTATATTTTCACCAATTTACCATATCCAGGCCCGTATATCTGACGATGTAATCTCACAAATTAATGTAATCTAACAAATTGATTGTTCAACTGCTACTTTTATAATTGGCACAGTATGCATTACGCTCAGTGTATATCAATCTATTTTATGATACCATTATATATATCTTGCATAGTAATCTATTTATAACGGAATGTTTGTTTTGAATATTATATTATGCTTAACGTGGCGTTATTCCTCTTTGATTTTTAATTAGTTTTTTTAGATTTAACGGATTTATTATTATTTATTTACCTCCCCTCTTTTTTTATTCTAACTTTTACATCGATGCAACTTCTTCTTCTTCTTCTTCTTCTTCTTCTTTTTAAATTAATGAAATAAAAAATTAATATACACTTATTTCTTCTTCATATATACTGTTTCAATCGACGCACAGTATTATTAGTTGTATATAATGCAACTTCAAATACGATATAGTTTCATCTGTAACAAAGAAAAATTAATATATCATGTTGGATATATAAACACGTTAGAAACAATGCATATACGATGCATCATTCAATGCAGTATACAAAGTAATAGCGTCTCTAGTATCTCACAGTATCTTTTCAAAGTAGCAAGCAACATCGTTCTATTATTCCTTTCCTTCGTATTTACCGTAATCGCGTCACATTTAATACGATGTTGCCGCCATTCAATCATGCCGTATTGAACTTAGTAATATACGTTCGAGAAAATGGGTAGTGACCGGTACCTTCACCATACCACCATTACCACCATTACCGTTTACCGTGGCATTTACCGTGCGCAGTGTACTAATACTACAGTTTATCGTATTATTATCGTTTGTGCGTCCCATTCGTTAGAATTTCATTATTATACCTACGTGAAACGTGTGTAAACACATGTTTTCGATAAAAGAACGAGAGAATCACGTTGTTCCGTCACCCGGACCACGCATAATTATCGTGATCTCAATAAAATCACGATCGTACAAAGCGACGTTACGCGATCCTATTTTAATATTTATAGTCCATTCAAAATGTATGTATTTCTACGCGTTAGACTCGAGCGGGATTATAAATGGAATTTCTTCATTTCTTCTTCTTCTTCTTCTTCTTCTTCTTCTTCGTCTTCTTCTTCTCAAGGATACGTATATGCAAATATTCTACGAAACGGGTTATAAATAAGGCGGTAGTGTCGAAAAATAGATAACCGTAATGGATCTCGAAATTTTTTTTCTTTCTTTCTTATATAAGTTACATTGACATTATCTGTCTTTGTGTATTTTTAGGATTTTCGTGCTATTTTTGGGATTCGTGGTTTAGATAGATGTAGAAAATATGATAATAGAAATTTGGGCAATTGGCATTGATAAATGAACGTATGAATATTTATGGAGTTTTTATTATTGTTTATTTAAAAAATATAATAATAATAATATATACTCAATTTTTGATTTATAAATTGGAATCAAAAAAAAAAAAGAAAAATTATCTAATTCGTAATTTTTTTCTAAAAAATTCCACTCGCACATTAATTTATCTCATTTCACTATCAGAAATCATGGAATTCTTTCACTGATAAAAACTTTTATTCCACTTAAAATTTTATCGAACATGTTATCGTAACATTCCTTTAGGATTAAATAAAATTTATTGATCTTTAAGACACGTTGCAATTTTATAGAGAGAATAATCGACTAATCAAAATCACTAATCAAAAATAATAAAATTAAAATCGAGATCGAAAACGAAAAATAATTAATAAAACATTCCATATATTTTATATCAGTAATTAATGATTTTCTATCAATGATATCAATTATCATTGTTATCAATTGAAATAACAAACAAATTATTTGTCAAATAAACTGAAATAAATTCCTGTCATATCCATATTTTTTTTTATTTAAAAATCAGAAACACGAATTAAAAATTTAACTTAATGATCGACAAAAATATTTTATCAATTTCCTTTACCGGAAGTAGATACACGCCATTGTTAAGTTCTACTAAAACGGGTCTTTTCATCGTCGAACAGATCCATTCTTGTATACCGACCAAGTCGGTTACGTAATTACGTAAAATGCAGGTTTATATAAGGCAATCGTTCGAAAGAAACTCTTTCTCTAAGGAAAATTACGTTCAACGCGAGAACTCGATGGTTCATGGCAAAAATGTGCTACAACCGTGCTCATGTTGCGTCATGTTTTCATTACGTAAGGCGAAGGTTGTACCGTCGGTAAATGGTACGTGTTAAGAACCGAGTCGTGGCTCATTTCCGGCCGCCCTTGAATTCAAAACGCAACGAAACGCCCGATATCGACGACACCGATAATGATCGTCGTGTCGACGTTCACGCGACACTTTTGTGGTTGAAAACTTGTGAAAAGTTGAGAAATAAGTGGAGAATCGTGAGATGAAAAGGATAGAAGGAAAAGAAGGGAAAGGAAATGTAAAAGGAGGTTGAGGTAAAGGAGAAAGTAAAGCGAATTGATACAAAACAAGAGGAAAGTGATGTAAAATGAAAAGCAAAGAAAAAGTTAAGTTAAAGTAAATTGAACTATGGTAAAGTAAAGTAAAATAAGGCAAAAATTGAGTTATTAAGAGAAGCAAAGTAAAGGAAGTTAAACAATAATAGAAATATTTGTGTATGAAACGTATAAATATTAATATTATTTCTTAATAACATTCTATCAATCTAACTTCACATGCATCCTTAATTTTTACATTACATTCATGTTAACATCCTTCATTTAATTACACACATAATTTTATAAAAAAGTACAAAAGAACATAAAAATTGTATATATTTTTCCACTTTTTGGAATGTAAATTTCATTCAATTTCCAAACAACTAATGAATATTTCCTTCTTTTTTTGATTTCAGGCATTGAAAACGTATGTTTCAGATATCGATCTCAGGCTGTACATGCTAGCAATCTTGCTGCCCCTGATCTTGGTCAATTGGATCAGAAATCTAAAATTCTTGGCGCCGTGCTCCACGGTCGCTAATTTCATTACGTTCATCGGTTTTGGCATAATACTGTACTATATATTTAGGGAACCTTTATCATTTGAAAATCGCGATGTGATCGGGAACGTTGAAAACTTTCCCCTTTACTTTGGCACCGTGCTGTTCGCTCTCGAGGCTATTGGCGTGGTGAGTATTTATATTTAACGAAATTTTGAAACGTTTCTTAAATTATAAATGGAAAATTTACAACTTAATTAAAACTTATAAATTTTAACCACTTACGTTATTTGAATATATATATATAGATTTGAAACTTTCTAAATTTTACAATATTTCGAACGATTAAAAAAAATAAAAGAAAATTGTGAAAATTTTCATCTCATTTTGTGAAAACGTTTACGCATCTTTAATTCACAGATCATGCCACTGGAGAACGAAATGAAGAAGCCAAAGGTGTTCATGAAGACTTTTGGCGTGTTGAACATAGGGATGGGCGTGATAGTTGCCCTTTACACAGGGATGGGTTTCTTCGGCTACATTCGTTACGGCGGGGCCATCGAGGGTAGCATCACCTTCAGTTTGGGGGAACCGCTTGCTCTGGCCAATGCTGTTCAAATCTTGCTTGCCATAGCCATCTTTTTCACCCATCCTATCCAGTGCTACGTCGCGATCGACATCATTTGGAACGAGTATATCGCCCCAAATCTCGAGAAGAATTCGCACAAATTATTGTGGGAATACGTCGTGAGGACCAGCCTCGTCCTTCTCACGTGTAAGTGAACGTCTGTAAGAGTCCTTCACCCGATGTGACGTCAATTCCAGCCAGGAATCGAACCAATGGCTGGAATATTGATCGCACAGCATCGATTATTATTCTCTCGTGTATGGCGGCGTGTTGCTCAAGTATCGAGCGCGATTTTTATTTTTACAAGATGACTCGAACACGTTTTTCCCTTTGATGCGTTCGCATTGACGTCACAGTTAAATTATCCTTTTCGAGGATGGAGGGAAGAGGAGGGAATAATTTTTTTTTACGATAATAAAGAAACTTCTTTTTTTTTTTAAAAAGAAGAAATCGATTTCTCGGTATTGAACGAACGAGATATTTTATTCTTTTTGATTTTAATTTTAGATGGGATTAATGAGGGTTAATTGAGGCTTCAGATAATCAGAGTTAAATGAAATATAAGTGTTATTGAATCTTTAACTCTTTCTGCATGTAATTGGTGTAAAGGCTTATTTGCGTTTGATTCAAACTGGTTAAAACTAACTATTGTACAAATATAACCACTTCTCAGATTCTCCCTGACCTGTGACCTGATCCCTTCTGACACTGAGTAATTATTGTGAAGACCTAATTGAATCCAACCGTACTTCATTGAAAATCTTCTTTTGATATTTATTTATTTCTTATCCTCTTTGTAACGATTACCAAATTTATTAAATTCAATTGCAATTTATTTATTCATTTATAAAATCAAAATCCGAATAATTTTAAATTTTCAATGTTCTAAAAAAATCCAATCCAATAAATTTCAATATCAAAAATCAAAATGTAATTATAACAACAATCCACAACTTCTAATATTTCTTCCCTGTAAAAGAAAAAAAAAAAGTCAATGATGACTTTTGATCAAAGATCCAGGTTTATCCATATCATAACGACATTTCTTCTTCTCTTTGAATGCTTAAAAATTTAATCATCGATTGAAAGATTTAAAAAAAAAAAAACTTATCCAACGAAGCAAAATAAGAGAACGTTCATTAAACCTGTTTTCTTACAGTCCTGTTGGCCGTGGCGATCCCCCAATTGGACCTCTTCATATCGCTGTTCGGTGCCCTGTGTCTCTCCGGCCTGGGATTGGCGTTCCCCGCGATCATCCAGATCTGCACATTTTGGACGGTGTGCGACAGAACGGAGAGGTCAATAATGGTCGCGAAGAACATGTCTTTGGTACTTTTCGGGATTCTCGGTCTGATAGTTGGCACCTACACCAGCCTTCGTGACATCATCAAGACCTTCTCATGAACCGTGCACCTTGAAGGTGGTGTACTGAAAGGGTCGATGAGGGGAGGGTCGATGCAGCGGTGTAGGACGACAAGAAAGGGAGGAGGAGCAAGGAGAAGAGAAAGGGAGAGAAGGAGGGACGGAGGGAAGAAATGGAGGGATTCGTTCGTGACGAGAGAGGGAGGAAATGTGATACAAGTTTAGCCGTTTAATCGAACTTTAAGCGATCTATCTATTGGACTGAGTTTGGAAATGAGTCTAAACCAGCCACGTTTCGAATCTTATTTTATTCTCGTCGATGGAGAACA